TAGTTTGGTTGCTATAATTTATAAATCCTATATTCAGGTACAGCTGCATAGTGTGTATATTTTCCAGTTGGGTGTTAATTGTTGCTTGACCGGTGCAATTTTGGCATGATAAAAAATTCCTAAATTTTTGACTGTACATTACACAGGCTTACCTGATTTCAATTCATGTCTGTCGATTGTACCAGAGTTGTCCAAATCAAAACTGCGGAATGTCTCTTGCCAGTCACAAACATATTGCCATAATGCAGCAAACTCGTTGAAATCAATTACACCATTGCCATCTGTATCAAACATGGCTAAAGACCCAGAACAACACCAAAAATATACTGGTATGTCAGTTTGGGCTAAGCTAAGTGTACACAATATGATCAACACAACAGTTTTAAGTCAAGTTAACTAGTTTATACTTTTAAGGCTATACAATACTGACTAAAGGCAAATTTCTAATTAATTATTAATATTCTATACAATTATTTATATTGGTCTCTGTATAATTGCTATACTAAATTGTTTGCTTCTTTATGTTATGCATTCTTTGATTCTTTATCATTAATAAATCAGCTGAATTCAACACTGAATGTTTATTAGTCTTCAATTGAATTTGTTAAAGAAAACATAAAATTAAAATAGTGATTAACCAATCCTTACTGCAATAAACTGCTTCAAATTTTGTTAATCTGTGAGCCTGCAAAACTAAACCTGATGGCAAGTAAATTCTATTCCGGGCAACCAATTCATGTTCAACCAAATTATGGCAATTAAGTTACACCACTGTGTAGTCGAAAATTAAATTTATGAGTTCCAGTTGAGTTCAAACTAAGTTAAAACAGCCTTACCCATCATTAGTCGGATTGTTTCCGGGTTAAAGGCAGTCCATGTACCTACAATTTGAAATAGGCAGGTTTTTAAGGGTATAATTGTGTAGACAGAATTATACATTTATTAGACAAGTAACCAGGAGCAGTTGTGAAAAATGCAACTATAATTTATAGGCCCTCTGGTCAATGTATGGTGTATGGGAAAATATCACAATTATATATAAAATATTATAACGCCAGATGATTTTACCATAATGGCATATTATTTTACTCGTCAGGGCAGGGCCGTAGCTAGACCGATAATTGGGGGATGCATATTCATATATATTTGTATTCTGCCCGACGGATTTCTTTTGAAAGCAATTGTTTCTATCGTACCGGTATGTGAACATAAATGTATGAATATACCCCCCTCCCCAATTATCACGTCTAGCTACGGCCCTGCGTCAGGGGGAGAGTGCTAACCACTCAATGGGTTAATCAGACTATTTGACCATGGGTCTAGTTCACCCATCATTATTTTGCTAACACCAGGCGATTTACTTGTCAAGGGGAGGAGAGCACTGGTTAGTACCTTGATGCTTAATTAATTGAAGTCAAAAATTGTAACAATTTAATTATTTAGGTATTAATTAAATCGCCTATTGTTCAAAGGGCAGCAAAATGGTACAGTACATAATTAATCTGATCAAAACTATGGTTAAGAAGTTGTGCAGTGATTCCTGCAGTCGGGATGAATAATATGTAGCTCAAATACCTTTGCGTGTTATACCGCAACCACAAACAAGGAACTAAATATGTATTAATTAAACATTTGATATTTGAAATATCATATTTCCAAAACATACCATTTGCTAATGCCTGCTGTAATTCGTCGCCACTGATCGACCCATTCTTGTCTTTGTCAATTCTACAGTTTAACAATATATGCATATAATACTATTAACAGTACAAAAGCGTTAACTTTAATTATTAAACGGAACACAACATTGTATTCATTATAACCTCGGGTAAACACGCTATAAATATGGGTCACGCGAACACAAGATTATTCCCATATTATCGCTCTTCAAAAGACAGACAATCAAAGAAAATCAAATATGGGACGAATACATTTGACATTTACGTACCTGTGAAAAATGCTCCATAAGAAATGTCTGTCGATTGTCCCCATTTTGTATTCTGTATAATTTTTTTCTTTGTATTTTGTTTGCGAAAATTATATAATCTAGTACACCTAACCTGCGAACGGGCATTTTTCAACTATTTTCCTACTTCCTCTGTTTCCACACTTTAAGATAATTTTCTATTTCCTTTTCTTAGAATTTTACTTTCAATAAATTTCCTTTCAGATTTCAGGGTAGAAAAAATATTTTACTTTCTGGAACAGAAAATTTTGAAAATCAAGTGTGCCAGATCGAATTGGCGGCTAAAAATGCATTTCCAAAATAGATACACTTATAATGATGGATGCAACTTATATAATGGGCTATCACACAGACCTGCCAAGGTTCCCGCATTTCGCGTGAAAGTTGCGCATTCTGCTTTTGTTCCCGCTGTCCCGCACGCATAACTAAAATGATCTTAAAGTTACGCATTTTTACCATTATATGACGCTATCCCACTTTTCGTACAATAACTCATTGACAATGCAAAAAAATATACTTCCAGAGGGGGTTCAAATTTCCTCCAGAGGCATCAATTACACATATTTTTTTGCATTCCAGAGAGGTAAAAATTCCCAAAAGCAGAGGTCGTCGACATGGGTTTGGTTCTTAAATGTACTAGCCCAATTGTATTTTTGAGATCAAACTTACATACGACACCACACCAAACTTTTTTCACCAACAGCCATCAGTCATCTCTCCGTACCACTGATCTGCAATATGACTGGATAAAGCATCCTACTGAATTCAGTAAGCCGATTTTGAAGCCAGAATATTTTAATGAGATGAGATTTATAAATCAGTCAAATTCATGACCAGTCTAATCGTTTGCTGTTTAGCGATTCAGTTAGAATATAAACTGCTATCATCGCCTATTTGACTTGTGGAATATAGCTTCCAAAACATCTTCGAAAGAGTTTTAGAACGTTTTATACACCACATAATGTATTAATGAGGCTTATGGCCGCCATATTTGATGGCGGCCGCCATGAGCCTCATTAGTATTAAATTCTTATTAAGGCAATATTTTTCCTTTCCCACTAGTGACTAAAAACGTAAAGGACGAGTTAAACATGTCCACAACACCAGATTAGATTAATGGTGGAGCCATCCAATATGGCCGCCATTGGCTTCACTTATATGCACAGCAGATGCTTTATCCAGTCTTATTTTAGATCAGTGCTCGGTACTCACTATATATAGTATGCTCCCTTTACTATTGTTCTAGTTTACAGAAGCAGATGGAATAGAACTTAATTTAAAGCTAAGGTACTAAAACTGATCACTCATGTAGATAATTCTAGAACTTATAGCCGTACCTTGGTCAGTTGGTCAGTTCTATTCTCTGCTTCGGTACTAAATTACGTAGTTAGTATGCCTATAAACAACAATTTGGTTATATTTATAATATTACGAATGACCTATTCATAAGTACTGTTAATCGTAACTATTTCTAAAACGACAAGATTTTAATAAAGAAAATCAGTAAATGCTGATGTTACACGTTGAATTTCGTTGATTATAAAATCTACTTGTAATAGTGTCAATAGTGTAAATTATGTGCAGTGGGCCATCTATGTAACTAAAATAAAGAGCGCGTTTATATAAGCAAGGAACTATTTAACTAGCGTTTGGAGTTGGTCATTATTTGCAGTGTCATCGACTTGTCTATGAGCATATGTTTGAGTGACTGTAACTGATATGGTATTTTACTTTTTCATGGCAACGTTGAACATTACTTCATTTTGCAGTTGAACACCATGGTTAGAAACTGCTCGTAGCTAACTCTTATCCAACCATTCAAGTTGTGGTCATGTTGTTTGAAAGCGTTTGTCAAAGTCTAAAAAGTTAGAGGATACTTTTGATGTGATACAGTAGTTTATGTGAGAGTAATATCAAGTGCTTAACTATACTGTAGTCATGGGTGCATTGGTGTGGGGAGTTGTAACCCGGGCATATTATACTTAAAAATCTTGCAACTCTACTTACAGTGTAGTAAATTACTAGTATGCAATTCTGCACTTACATATACATATATTTACGTATAGTTATACGCAGTATATGTTACATGATAAGAAGATAATTAAAATAAGAAATAACGAAAATACATATTACATATAGGTGGTGTGCAACGTCACCCTCGGCGCCCTCGCCATGTTGGATAACAAAGGATTTTGACAAAAATCTCATTGTCCTTTGAATCCCATGGGAATGGTTGCACATCACCTATACAGATTCAAAAATGAAAATATTAATGAGCTATAGTTTCAAAGCATTCTTTGTTTAATAATCATTTTAAAGGTATTTAGGGATGGGGTAATTTTTGCCTGATAAGGTTGGCCTCCAAAATAATTGCCAGGGACAAGGGGGGGGGGGAGGGGGCGTCGAAATTTTTTGTGTAATGAGGGGGGCTGAGAAACTTATTCTTCATTTGTATAAATATGTATGTATAAAAGAGAAAGTCATCATCACATACACATCACATTAAATATAGTTGAACGCTTTGATATGCATATTCTAATTCTTCCACTCACAGCTATACATCAGTGCTATATAGTTTGTGACTTTCGTTGGACATGGCCGTACGGTTAGACTCAGCCAAGTCGCCAGTGTTGTCCTTCAAAATCCTATGTGTCGAACTACTACTTTTCAATATCATCTTTCTTTAACAGTATAGTCAAACCCTGGAACAGAGTGTGTAAGGATGTTGATCCTGACATTTTCTCCAGTCCCATTACTTTTGCATGTTAGAATGTTAGGGTTTGTAATCCAAGTGAGAATATATACATTTTAAGACCTAACCAGGAACGACTGCGAAAAATGCAGCACGTAAAGGTCCTCTGGTAGGAATTGAACCTACGGCCCTAACCAACTGAGCTATACAGAGGCCATTACAACCTTTCTAGTTAAGCGTAACTATATTCTCATATCTTCTTCAGATGCGTTTATGATGATGATTTGTCCTGCACGTTGTCCTTATCAAGCATGCGACTGTCTTTGCCACAGGGCATAGCTGCCTGTTTGTGTATCTTATTTATCTTTCCGCATGTCTTCCATACAAGAATTTTAAATATACATGAGTATATAGTAACAAGTGTAACATTTAAGTACACAAAATCTAAATTCTTGGCACAGGTGCCTTGCATGTTTTTTTTCACGTGTCCCGTTCGCATTGCCTTTTTGGATCTTCAAGTTATTATTTTTTATGTAACTGTATTGATAATATCTTGTATGTAGAGTATTATTGATCCAAATAAATTTATGAAATTAAAATTAAAAATTAAATTAAATTAAAATAGTTCAACTGCTATTTATCCCTTAGACTTGCTCCAAGTGTCTCTTTCATTGTCATACAGTACGTAACGATCCACTATAGTGTACATTACATGACGTAGTACAGAGGGGCGGAGCGAGAAAGAGAGACTTGTCAACTTCGGAAAATCTCGGTTCAAAACTGAACAGAAAATGCAAGACTTGCATGCTTTAATTGTTTTCTGTCAGTGTTTATATGTATTGATCTAGCACAGTGTAAATAACATGAGTTCCATTATAGTAAATAATACAGAAAGAAATTGAAGGAAAACAATTAAAGCAAGTCTTGTATTTTCGGTTCAGTTTTGAACCGAGATTTTCCGAAGTTGACAAGTCTCTCTTTCTCGCTCCGCTTCTCCATGCTACGTCATGTAATGTACACTATAGTGGATCGATATGACAATGAAAGAGAGACTTCGAGCAAGTCTATTTATCCCTACGCAGAACGCGTGATTTGGATGGGCGGTGGAACTCTGAATTTGCTTATATTGGTATACTTTCATTGCATGCATAAGTACGAGAAACACCCTGCTAATACCTGTAATACAACACAACACTGGATGAAATCATCAAAGCGAATATCACCACGACCACTGCGATCGAATTTTGTAATTAAGACACCATAAAAGCTCTCTGACAGGTTAAATCCTAATTGAGAATGAATGAATAAGAACTTTCAATTGTATATCTACTCCATAAAAGGTGTCTCGTTAGTATATAATTGTTCTGAAAATGAAAATTTGCTGAAACTTCCCAGGGGCGAAGTTTATGATATGCTCATAGTAAAAATAGAAAAAAACATTGGTGTCACCGAACTCGTTTCGAAGATATGACAAATGCTTATATACCACCATTTGCCCATAGCGCGCCATCTTGACTCTTTTACGAGTTACAGGAAAGATCGCAACTGCTCAACCGTCTTATTTTCTGATATGACATGTAAAAAACGTATAAGAACAAATTAAAATATAAAACAAAGAAGTAGGGTCACCGACCTTCTTAAAGAAATACAAGGGTTAAACGTGCAACATGATGTGGTTAGTGCGCGCTGCGGAGCTCTAGCCAGAGTTCTGTCATATATTCTGTCGAACAATTTCACTTGTCAAGACTGTTAAGGAAGATTAATTCCTTTACTACAATGTTGATCTGTAACAAAAAATATAACTTACCAAAGGTTTGTAGTGCTAAAATAACATAAAGAAAACATTTAGTTGTTGTAAGATAACTATATCAGTGTTTTTTATACTATAGGATAAAATTTAAAGACCATGTCAAGTCCGTTCTGCGCCGATCAGTTCTGCTCATAACAAAGGGGGACCCACAGATATAATAAACATTGCCAAAATTTTTCATCTTTCGACCTTTTTTGAATTGAAATTAAACGTACTCTAGTTTAGATTCATTTACGAACAGAAAAGTGTTAGATATTCAGTTAGTATGTCTTATTTTACAATTATAGCAGTTCAAAATGTAAAGAAAGGATTTGTTTACGTTACGGACTTGACATCCCGATATTTTTTAGTAAATTTACACCTGACAATTCTTTGTAAAGTGCGTGATGTTGAAATTCTGCAAACTTTTAAAATCGTTTGTATAAAAGTACCACTTGTGTCGTCCTTTTGGTGGTAAGATGGATAAGAGGTTGTACCGCGCGTAAAATCTCTGGGGATCGAGGAGAGGTGTGCGCATGTGCAGTAATTGAAAACTGTGCAAATATAAGGAGACGAGGATTTATACGTCGCACAGACAACCAGACATAGGTATACCTGCTTTTAATTCATTCTTGTCAATTGTTCCAGAGTTATCCAAATCAAAACTACGAAATGTGTCTTGCCAGTCACAAACATATTGCCATAATCCAGCAAACTCGTTAAAATCAATAACACCGTTCCCATCCGTATCAAACATACCTACGGAAAAACGCCAACAAGGTTTACCTAGATGTACAGTATTTTCAAAGAGGATAACCGCCAACTGCAAGTCGGCAAATAGTCAGAGGAGTAACAATAGTACAGTGAATCAGTTTATCAACCACATTAATACTGAATAAAAGTTGCTAAACAAAATAGCAAGTACTATAGTTAACGTACAAAAATGTAACGAATAAAGTAACGTAAACGCTGATCAGAAAAGTAGCTGACGCGTTGTCGTTCCATTTTAAGCCGAAATGTAGCTAACTTGTTACAGTTGTCTCTTTTCAAAATGCGTAACTCAAGTTACCCGGCGTTGCAGTTAAGTTATATGCTTAAATTCTTAGAAAGTAACAAATACTTGTCAAATTTAGTTACTATAATTGTAACGAAGTTATACTTACAGCACTGATAATATAGCATTAGATCAGAGTAGAGTAATTAATTAACTCAGTGTTAGGAAAATAAAAGGAAATACCAGACAATGCATCTAATTTATAATCCCCGAGCCGACGGCGCGAAGCGCCATGCGAGGGTACTAATTCCCCCCGGCTATTTACACCCGGCGAAAGCATTAGCGAAGTCTAAAGTTCATCAAATATCGCGGGCGTGGCTCACCAACGATGTTTCGGTGGGTGGTCATCCTCACTGATCTCAAAATATGTGGCGGACTGTCATGAATAGCGAAAACTGATTGGTCCAATTTAAAGTTTGTATTATAACGACTGCATGACGACAGCGAAATAGCAAACATTTCTTGATTTGATGATTGATAAATTTCTTGCAAATATATTTCATTTTTGTTGGCATTTTTGCAAGATTTTGTAAATTTCAAGAAAGAAAGGGCGAAAGAATCGGCTAAAAGAAGTGAGCCGACGTTAACGAAGGTAAGTTTGTTTTAAATATTGATTTTATAATGGCTTTAATTTAAAACCTGACGGCCTTTGCGTATATATGAAACAACTAAACAAGACAGCATATAATTTCAGTGCATCTTTAGTAATATTGATTCCCTTTTTTATGACATTGAATTTTTTAAATAAAACAGAAGACAGAGTTATTTACAAGCGAGAATTTGAAATCATTTTATTGCAAACTCAAAGTTTATCGATAAAGCCATTTTAAAAGGCAGTTTTATAGTTTTTATACAAAGAACACTAGTGACTTTAAAACGTTTTGCGAAGCGTTTGTGGTTGAATTTCACCATAAATTGAGGCTTATATTACGTATAATAACATACCTAACATATATATGTTGGGAAATTAATAATTTTGGAATTAAAAGTGATATTTTTTATAGCGA